GACGTATATACCATTAATTAAGTATATCTTGATAAAATATATCTATAAAAGCTATAGTTTAAGGCTTTTGGCAAAGGTTTTTTTTATTAAAATCATCTATTTGCATATAATGATGAATTTAGAGTATTTTTCTAAAAAGGTACACAGTTAGGTCAGAACTTCTTAATCTGGAATCCATGGTTCACAAGAGTACTTGGGGGATTTAATGGAGTAGTTTCTTAGCTGAAACTATGAGAATAGAAAAATTAATTATTTAAAATTATATGTGAAATTTTGTGAACAATTGCATGAGTGTATGTCTGTGCACATGTGTTTAGGAGAGCATTTATATTTGCTGTCAAGGGATCTGTAATCTAGGAGTAAGCATGGTTTATAGTTTTCATACAGAAATATTGTGAAAAATTGTCTAAGCGAAGAAAACTTTGAAGATAATTTAAAGAGCTTTTTACACAGTAATCCTATTTTTTCTTTTACTAAATCAAATTTGGCAACTCCTCATTTGACAGAATAGATTACAAGCAGTGAAATTCCATTTCAAGGTAAACATTTGTGATAAGATATGTATTTATCCTCTTTTTACAGAATATAAGGAATAACCAAACAGTGTAGCAATAAGATATTTTTTGAAATTTTGTTTTACCTTGTCCAGGTGATATTTACAAAAACAGCCTGTTGCTGGAAGAAGAACATAACCATGTAAAAACTTACTGAGCACCAAAGCACTTTCTTTCATTTTATGCTACCTCTATATAATACCAAAATTAATGTTCTTGTATTAATGAGAATCTGACAGTCCAAATCTTCTGTACTAGCTGTTTTTCTAAATTTAGAACTTTATCTTACCAGAAAGGATGCTAGAGATGCCCACAAATTTTATAAAGGTAGTTAAAAAACATAAATTACCGGGCCGGCCCGGTGGCGCACTGGAGAGTGTGCCACTTGGGAGTGTGGTGGCGCTCCCGCCGAGGGTTCGGATCCCATGTGGAGACCGGTTCCCACTCACTGGCTGAGCGAGGTGTGGGCGCGACACCAAGGGTTGCGATCCCGTTGCCGGTCCCTGGTACAGGCGCGACACCGAGGGTTGCAATCCCGTTATCGGTCAGTAAAAAAAGACAAAAAGGAAAAAAAAAACATAAATTACCAAGTATTATTGTTCTCATTAGCCACTTAGAAAAAATATCTACATGTTTGGTTTAAATAATTTTTTAAACCTTAAAGTTCATTTTCTTTACTATGACATAAACCAGTGGATATTTGGATGAACAGAGTTTTATAAGTCTAAAGTTAATTTAAGTGCATTTATATAGTTTCTTTAGGAGTTGAACATATTGGTATGGAAACCTCTAATTTTTGTTCTTAATTATTAAGAATAAGTATGTCTTGTTCACCCATGACATTGATAGATATAGAAAAAGCATTTTTTAAGAAAAAGGCATAATAGTGTTGTGGCTAAGACCAAGGGTTCTGGAGCCCAGTAGGTTGGGGTTGATTTTCTAACTTCCCTTTTATTACTTATGGGACTTTAGGCATTTGCTTTAGTTTATGTGCCTCAGTTTCTCCAATTATGAAATAGAAATCATAATTAGGCTTGCCATGGGGATTAATTGAATTAATTCATGTCAAGACCCTTTGAATAATACCTGATACAAAGTAAGTATTCAATAAATATTAACTATTATTCTTATCAATTATAATCTGATAGTTTATTAAATGTAATGTTTTTACTACCCTGTATGAATTTAATTTTGGTTTATAGGACTGAGAAGTAAGCATGATAATGTGGTTCTTGAGGCCAGAAGTCAAGGATGAAATATCATTTGAATAATAAAAGAAACATATATCTGGTTGAGTTGCATATAATGTCTTCTGTTTTTAAATGAGTTGATTCTTAATTGCCACATTATCTAACTTAAAATTTAAATATTAAGGTTGAAATAACTTTTTTCTCAAAGTGCTCATAGCAAAATGCTGTCTTTAGAATAAATTAACAAGACTGCATTTTAAAAAATATATTAAAATGAGAATAGATACATTAGGCAGACCCTTTGTCTCTTGGTAACAAAGGGGCAAGATTAAGTAAAATTTTTTTTTTTTTTTTTTGGCTTTTTTCCGTGTCCGGCAACGGATCGCAACCCTCAGTGTTGCCCCCGTACCGGACCGGGGACCGGCAACGGGATCGCAACCCTCGGTGTTGCTCCCGCGCCTCGCTCAGCCAGTGAGTGGGAACCGGTCTGTATGTGGGATCCGAACCCTCGGACGGGAGCGCCGCCGCACTTCTCAAGCGGCGCACTATCCAGTGCGCCACCGGGCCGGCCCTTAATTTTCAGGAATAAAAAATTAAGATTATTCTATTTTATTTTATTTTATATTATTCTGAAAGTTTAGAACCCTCTTTTATCATTAGACTTTAGAAATCATACATCCCAGTTCTAGGAGCTCCTCTGCAAAATTCTGAAGCTTGTCCTTAGAGTTCACACAACTTGATTTAAATATATGTTGCAGGTGTGGAGCATGTATGTCTTTGTTAGTTGACTGGATTTCACCTCCAGCAAAGTGAAGAGAAACATGCAGTCATTACTTTACTAGGGCAAATGCAATCCCAGGGAAGCATCTCTGAGAACGATAGGACTTCTTGACTGAAGCCTGTGCCAGCACTCCTTAACAAGACATACACCATGCAAATGAACAATTGAGTCCCACACTGAAACAGCTGTTAACTACGAAAAACTGTTAAAGGGATTAACGGTGCCAGAGGCTGAAATGTAACGAGACAGGTGAAATAGTGATAACATAAATATTCCTGCATGAAAAAGCAGTAATGTTTAATTAATTTATTTATTTTTATACTGGTGTGGCAACTGAGTTTAGAATACTTGTGTGAAATATGTTAAACGTTTAAAAAGATTTACTTTCTTTTGGAAAGGTGTAGAAAATGAGAGAAGCAAAAAGAGATATTTTATTTGGAAATATTTTCTGATATTTTAGTAGGCTTGATTGCATACAAATTTGGGTGCTGTTTCCTCTAGTGATGACATGCTGTAGAAAGATACATGTGATTTTCAAAGATGACAAATGAAGGTCAGCTGCCAAATTCTTCCTTCTAAAGTTTGTCATCATATTATTTGGAAACAGTACAAATAAAGTGTTAAAAGTGAAGCTAACATTGGGATGTTTCTGCTTATGGCCCCAGAAAGAAATGAGAATAAAAATCTGTGGAAAACAAATACAGAGGTTTCGCTATACTCTGGTTTGCACTTGAATCTAATGTGTACTATGGGCCATTCATGAAAACATTCCTATTAATTTATTGAATGAATTTGTTATTGTTTTTTTAGGGCGTATATGTATATGTTTATGTTTACATGCTCGCTTGTGTTTATGTGTGGGTTTTAAATAAATGATTCCAGAAGTGTATCTTCACCTCACCTATAGGGGTTTGTAATTAATTGCATTATGCATATCGATTTCTAAAACCAAGTATAAGTTAAATTGCCTAGAATATTCAGTAAAGGCATAGTGATAGAGGCATATTCCGTAATGTTTGTATGAAATGAAAACCATTTGGGATTTAGAATTATTAATTTGAAGATTCTGCTAGCACATGTATTTTGCTCTCCCCACATTCCTCTGCTCCACTGAACGACCGATGTTTGTGTCATGACTACTGTTCCTGTACTCACTAATATTTATTAATCAAAAATCATATTAACAGATTGTTTGTATTGACATCTTTATTTTAGATCTATTTTTGAAACTTAGAATGAGTTTTTTAATCAAATATTTGAAGTGTATATTTAAGATAGTCAACATATCAGCATTAACCTTAAAAACATTAGATATCAATCAATGTGATTTGTCGCTTTCCTGGGATCCTATTAACATGTCTTAAATAGGTAGAGAAGAAATGTGTAAACAGGTATAATTGATTTTACTGAATATGAAGCATACACACACAAATATATTTTAATGGAAACCTTTAATGTTGTAGAATTAAGAAATACTCTGAGGGTGGGATTCACAGATCTCAGAATACAGCTTTATTTTTAAGAAGAGCTCTGCTTTGTGGGAATTTAAAAGATAATGGAAGAGACTATCCAAGGAAAACCTTTAAGTAAAAAAATTTGGTTTTTCTTTATCATTTCAATATCACTTCTTTTGAAAATGTCTGAAAAATCAATTTAGTGTTGTTCATACAAAATATACACAAAATATTATACAGATTGCCAAAGTTGTGCTAAAAATTGTGGGGAAAATGAGACAATAGAATGCAAAAATATATTTACATTTCAGCATTTTGGAATACATTATTTTCTTACATACACACATAATTATGAAGAAGTAATAGCTGCAAGAAACTTTATAGGGCAAATGAGGCTTAAAGTGCAAAATGGCAAAGAATATTGACACAAACAGTGTTAAGATCAGATATATGTTCTGCATAAGCAAAATTGAACTTGCAATAAATTTATCTGATGTCAAAAACTTGTGCAGCTTATGCTTTCTTGAAAGCGTGAGAGGGAGGTGGAGAATTAAGAGAACCCTGCTTTCATTGGGAGTACGATCAAGAAGAGGCACCTCCTTAAAATGAAAGTAAAGTATAAATAATGTTATTTGTTTAAATATTACAAAGCCATGAGGAAATTTAGTACAGAAGACCACTACATTTAATGTGCATGGGAAAATCTGAGACTCTCAAACAAAAGCAGAAAAATAAATAAGTCTAATCAATATAAGTTAGGTATAAGACTATTGCCAGTTGTGCTCAGTTTAAGGGAGAGAATCCCCATATATTGGTTTCTCCTATGATCACATTGACTTACTCTAGTGCTACCCTGTAAAGTTATTCTTTTCTGAAATTTCTTTGTTCTTTTTGCTCTTGCAGAGTGACATTTCATTTTTTTCTTTAATATTTCAGCTGAATAAGCCACACAACCATTTATTTTTTTAAAGTTACTGAATGTAAAAAAAATGTTTCCTTTTCCTTTTGATTTCTCTTTCAGGAAGTTGATGGCAATAAAGTTATGTCTTCATTTGCCCCACACAACTCATCTACCTCACCTCAGAAGGCAGAAGAAGGTGGGCGGCAGAGTGGCGAGTCCTTGTCTAGTACAGCCCTGGGAACTCCTGAACGGCGCAAAGGCAGCTTGGCTGACGTCGTTGACACCTTGAAGCAGAGGAAAATGGAAGAGCTCATCAAAAATGAGCCAGAAGGTAAAGGCTGGAAAAGAAAACAAAGTTGTTGCTGTCTCCTGGTTCAGATAGTTTAATCTCAGTTTTTAGTTCTGGTCCTTGATTTATACTCTTAAAGTTAAATTGGGCAAAAAGGAAACCTAATGTTATGAAGATGGATAGTATTTTTTTCCCAGAACACTTAAACACGTCTATCTCAATTTTTCCATCATTAGTTTATGTTGTGATGTCTTCCTTATTTTCACACATGAGTAAGATTTGGTTGAGTGAAACATAAAGATTCAAGGATAGAATGTGGCAGCAGAGCCCAAAATATTCACCCACTTGTCAAATTGCTGCTGTCTAATTTGTTTCTCTTCATTATTTTTCTCCTCAAGGACCATTTTAGAATTTTGTTATGTTTTGCAACCTTTATACACAATACATCTTATCCTACTTACCTTGATAATTAGGGTTTGGTTTTTTTTTGAATAGTCCAAAATTAATATGGTTAAGCCTATTGTATATTTAAAAATTAGTGGTGCTCTCACCCTTTTAGATGTACTTAATTTTGCATTTGTTTGACTTCCAGGAAGTCTTTTAAGATTTCATCTTCTAAATATCTTTTATAGTTAGCTGATAGTAGTCTGCAGGTGATATGCTAATGGACTGATCTTAAAATTAAAAGAAAATGGGCCGGCCCGGTGGCACACTGCTACAGTGCGCCGCTTGGGAGCATGACGGCGCTCCTGCCGAGGGTTCGGATCCCACGTACAGACCGGCCGCTCACTGGCTGAGCAAGGTGCGGGCGCAACACCGAGGGTTGCGATCCCATTGCCGGTCACGAAAAAAGACAAAAAGGGAAAAAAAAAAAATTAAAAGAAACAAACCCATAAGACAATGATGTAAACTGTACAAACTTATACATAATTGACGGTCATCCTTTATGTTACAGATACTTACTAACTCCTGTTAAAACCTATGTCTATCCTACGTATGGATGCTACATTGTACACAAGAACATGCATCCTGTTTCAATCAAATGGAAATTTAAAACAAACACACAAATGACATGCAAAGACATACTTTACACCAAAAATATACTGTATGTAGACTGTGTAAGACTGAGTTGAGCTCATTTCTAGTCTTTTAAGGCACTGGTAAATATATCTGACACAAAATGTATGTTAACCAGTATATTTGGAAGTTGAGATAATTAAATATTTCTGTGTCTCTACCAGATGCATAGCTGGGATGTGGATTTTGATTAAATTTTATGCGGTTCTCATGATCTTAGAACTGGAAAAAATTTTAGAGATAGCCTTATCAGCCAAAGACTTTTGAGATTTTTACTTACTTCCCCTTCTGTTCTCATGGAGATAAAAACAGGGTTTTGAGGAGGACCCAGATAACCTTTTTAAAAAATATGTTAGGATTTTTCCTTATATTAAAAATTATATGGTCTTACTATAAGAATGATTTAAAAAACATAGCAATTTATAAGGAAGAAAATAAATATCACCGAAAAGGTAGCTTGATTGGTAAGACTCTTAATATTATGGTGTATTTCTTTTCTAGGCTTATTTATACATATTCTGTTTATTTTGCATGATTAGCTTTATACTTTTAAAATTATTTTGCATTCTCCATATATCATGTAACATTCTAGTGTGACCATGTCACCTGTCATTAAATGTACTTTGAAAAAAATGACTACCAAATATTCTAAAGTTTGGCCACGGTTCACTATTATAATTCCCACATTACTTTTTTAATACAGTTTTAACTTTACAGAAAAATTAAGCAGATGTTAGAGAGTACCCGTACATTCCCTCCTCCCCCCATATACAGTTTCCTCTTTTTAATGTCTTATATTAGTAGGCACACTTGTTACAATTAATGAACTAATATTGATACATTATTATCATCTAAAGTCCATAGTTTATTCATATGTCTTTAGTTTTTATCAAGTGTGCTTCTTTTGTTTTCGGATGTCATTAAGTGTAAAATACATTTAGTCATCATGTCTCTTCAGGCTCCTTTTGGTTGTGATACTTTCTCAGACCCTCCTTGTTTTTGATGACATTAGAAGTTTTGAGGAATACTATTCAGATATATTGCAGGATGTCACTTTATTGGAATTTGCCTGATATTTTTCTCTTAATTAAACTGGGGTTTTGGGTTTGGGGACA